GTAAAAAGTTTTTATAATTATAGTGCTTAATGTCAAGAGATAGAGCATTAATTATAATAAATAAAATTAAATGTTTACTTATCATTACTTTTAAATTATGCTAGATCACATCATAAAATTCAACAAATTTCATTTTCGAAACCTCAGATATATGGATGTAATCTCCATAAAATAAGGGATAAGATAAGATAAATAAACAGTTAATTTATTATATATATATATATATATATATTAGAGAGAGACAAGAATATTTATAATTTTATATTTATGTATATTTAAAAATGTATTATATTTATGTCTATAAATGTGTATGAATGATGGAATTCTTTGTAATATCAATACAGACTACACAATGGATCCACATAAAATGAGTGATTTTTCGACAAAATTAGTTTTGCCCAAAGGCCAAGTTTCCTACCTTTCCTTGGTAATAACTTGCTGTCAGAATAGAACAAGTTGCAAGTCACTCCAGGAATAGAATAACAAGTTACATTTAATAGATTACACCATAATGCTGATATATTTTTGTATGATTTTAATTAAAAATCGAATCTAATACAAATTTACCTGAGGTTTTTTTTTTTTTCGTTTTTTTTATATATAACAGCCCATCAATATTTGGGCTTATCAAATATTTTCATGATGTCATTTATGTCTTGTATAAAAGTAAAAGAAAAAACTAGCATCATGACATTCCTACTATATTCATTGATTTTTATTCTTTTCTTAACTCTAAACAGATGAATACTATACCATATGAAATTTTATAGTCTCTCTTTCTAATTTTTAAGCTTATACAATTGATATCTTCCAGTAAAAACAATTTCATGTTACTTATGATACAGTATAAATAAATTCTAAGCTTGACCAACTTTGCAAAATCTGATCAAATGGCTAAATAACAGAATTTGTGGGGAAATTTCTTTTTCACTTTAGTGCAAACTGGATCTATGTCTCTCTTGTTGACTTTCATGTAAACTTGACCTATGACTAACTTTTCCGTCTAGTGTGTAGAATTGTGTTTATCTTCGACATGTGATCAGTAGTCAACTTCTTTTTATAATTTCTGAAATTTCGATGACAGTCAAATTCTCCAGTTGTTTGAGGTATAACAGAAGTGTTCATTATAGTTTCACAACCTGCCAAAGCTAGAAAGAGGTCAGTGATTTCATATTCTCCCTCTGTTGTTTAGTTTTCTTTCAATTTTTTAGCCCTAGCCTGAGCTGCAAAACATTGGATCCAAGTTTCAACAATTTCTGGTTCATACAAGCAACTTAAACATCCTATTGGCAATGCTATATAGTGTAAACAGAACATATTTCTACCCTTTTTTACTCTAATCTTACTGACCCTATATCTCTCTATCTATTAATTCATTGTGACTTTTGTCCTATAAGACTTATATTTAGCTTTAAATAACCAAACATTGTTTGATATGTCATTAAATTAACCAATGTTAAAGATTGATGTAATGAATATGCATACACCTAGGTTCCCCCTCACAGTAATAGGATTAGCTGGTGTCAGCCATAAATACAGACTGATGTGGAGGTACATGGACTACGCCTATTGACTATGCCTATTGCCTACCACTACGACAAGGACCAGTCCATTACAGTTACCTGCTAGATTGTCCTACCCGGTTACAGTAGTCAACAACCACTTTGCTACTTCGAACAAATATATTCCTTTCCGGGACATATCAAAGATCTATTATCATCTCATCTGGTTAAACTTGACAGGGCTGGTGCAAAGATCACATACCTCCCTGCAATCTATGATACCTCCCATTCAATATATATTTCCAGTTCCCACCCGACTCTACTACCACACAATTTTCATAAGGTAGTATTCACATAAAATACAAATTTTATTGTAACCTAATTATTTACAGTAATGAATCGTATGTAATATAGGTGAACAATTCACCTAGAAAAATTGATAATAAATACAATGTATATACAAATTAGAGACGTCATAATAGATCATCCTGTCTTAAATAAATCAATAATGTTTTGCTGTAATTTTTAACATCAACTTGAAATTTTTCTTGTTAAAAGTTGAATAATTTTAAAATATTCAGCATTATGGATACAAAATAGTGATTTTTTTTATATAGTGTTTTCTGAGACTGATCATGAGCAAAACAAATTCCCAGATTTGGACAAAAACAAGAATCCAGAACGATGTCTAAATCTTCAAAAATTGTCATCCTTTAATAATCAGTTGGGTTTAGTTTAATCATACTTATTATAAAACTCAGGTTGTGTGTGTGTGTGTGTCTGTACGTTTATATATTGGATCGGATTTCCTACATTTTTCAACCGATTTCAACAAAACTTCACACGACTACGTAACATTACCTTGCAGTGGTTCTGACAGCACCAAAAATTGGAAAAACACAATTGTTTTTGCACGAAATCAATTTGAAAACACGATTAAGTCGCCAGAATGAAAGGGGGACAACTCATATCGAGTTATACTTATAAAACTCAGGTTGTTTGTGTGTGTCTGTGTTTGTTTATATATGGGATCGGATTTCCTACATTTTTCAACCGATTTCAACAAAACTTCACTTTGTTTTGGAAGGTAGTGTTTCTTATTTTCTTGCACACTTTTTTCTTTATTTTTACATTCAGAATGCTTTAAAAAATTTATTTACAAGACAATTGTTTATAATCAAATTCTATTCAATCGGTAGACTCATCATAATGATTGAAAACAATGTTTTTGTTTGAGTTTGGGTTTGACCAATTCGTAAAAAAAACAAAAAAAAACTAATTAAGACATGCATGTCCATCAACCTTAAACAATAATCTTTGTCAATTTTATTTTTCAGTCTTTATGATGGTCGATACTTGATCTATCTCTTACTGTTACATCCACGGGCAACGCCGGGCTCTACTGCTAGTTTGTAATATATCTAAATGTATATAGAAAAAAGCAAATGTTGATATATTAGGAAAGGTCACAAAGCACTACCAGGACCCCAATCAGCCTCAACCCTCCGGTCAGGGGTTTTGGAAGTACACACTAGCTCTGAAACTTTGGTATGATTACATCTAAAAAAAAACGAAATATATGAAGAGGCCTAAGGATTGGACCAAAGATGCATTTGCATATAGACATCAAAATTAGATCATATATTGCTGATAGTGCAAGGGGTAACAATGTTTAAGCTCCTAAAACATGTTTAATTCTAGATTTGCTTAAATGTATAACTGCTATGGCTTCAATAGTATGTGAACTTACATTGTCTCTTTAAATGTTTAATAAATAAGAATGAAAACAAACACAACTGGATTATGAATGACAGATTCAGAATTCTTAAATGGAAATGGCTTTATTTTGTGTTGTATGTTTTACGTCAGCATATTAGTCTAACACAATGATGTCATTGCTAAGTAAAAAACTGGTACTTAAAGAAAATACGTCAACAATGTACCCAACCTTAGAGCCTTCTTCGAGACTGTTGAACCCAAAGTCATTAAGGAATTCTTAAAAGTAACAAAACTCTACCCCAAAATATAAAAAGGTACAAAAAGCAAGTAGAACCGAATTACATCCCCACCCATATATAATACCAACTTATAAAAGAATTTGTCTGCAAAATAGATACAAAATAAAAACAATTCTTAAAACTAACCCAATTCAGCCCAAAATAACCTGTGGTGTTGGTATGCCAGTAAAATATCCCATCTAACTCTAAATCATTGCTAAGTGATGCCAGTATGCCAGCCTAGTACAATAACATTAATGCAAAGGGACGCTAATCTAAACTAATATAACTACAACCTAGTACTATTGTTGTAAATAAATCCTAATGTCAAAGTATGTAAATATAGAATGCTATAGAGAAATATAATATAAATAAAATGCAAAATAATATTTATTTTACAATTATTGAATTAATTGCAAATTATTTTTAAACAAAATCATTTTTAGCAAGACAAATGCACTATTATTGTGTGATAAAAAAAATAAATCCAATTATAAAATATAAAAAAAAAACAAATAATTTATAAACTTTATATTAATTATTTACATGCGGGCAATTGTCCTCATGTTTGTTGTTGTTATCACAACATTTCGGCCATTGTGCCCACTGGCCTTCATCAGGTGCTTGTTGATCTGGCTAATCTTTGGGAACCTTGAACTTTATATCTATGGAGTTAGATTGTTTTTGTTCTGCTACTTATATCTAGGGATATCTCATCTAGTTCTTATTTAGTACTGTTGAGTCCAAATACACACTACCTGACCCAGGGATTAAACTCACACTTACTATGTCACAAAATTCACAAACCAATGCTTTTATCCACTAGGCTATTGTACCATGGAGGCTGGAGAGCACAATGGCCAAAACATAACAACAAAAAAAATATCCTGGCTTTAAAATTATTGAAATATAAAAAAATAAATAAACAAAAAAATGAAATAAAATAAAAAAAAAAAATGTATCATCTTTAAATATTGAATTTCAAGTGTTTTTACATTATATAGTAGAACAAAAATAGATTGGCCCACTGGTGGATAGTACTGATGAACCATCTGGCTAAAAATAGACTAACCCACTCTCTTTGTCTCTCTTTCTCTATGTCACCCTTTCTCTCTCTCACTTTCTGTCATCCTTTCTCTCTCTGTTGCCTTTTCTCTCTCTTTGTCACCCTTTCTCTCTGTTGCCTTTCCTTACTTTCTTTCTCTTTGTTGCTTTTTCTCTCTCTCTCTGTTGCCCTTTCTCTCTCCTTTTTTCTGTTCACTATTACCCTTTCTCTCTCTGTTGTCTTTTCTCTCTCTCTCTCTCTCTCTCTCTCTGTCATCTTTTCTCTCAATCTCTCTTTCTCAGATTAAAAACAGTGAATTATGCTGATAGACTCTCAAACTAAGAATAGACTGGTGTGCTGGTGGGCTTGCATATATAAAAAAGGAAAACCAGTTTCATATCTTTATTGTTGTTATTTTCTCAGAAATACTGAAAATGGTGTTCTTTTTCCTTGCAGGAATACAGTAAACAGCTCAGCAGTGGTGCTGTAGCCTATATAAATCTTGATGCAGTCATCAGAGGTAAGTAATAATAGTGTAAAACTCCAGTGCTTATCACAATTTCCATATCTTTGAGCATATATATATATATATATATATATATATACCCACTAAAACTTGTGGCGCAAGTTTTTCACTCAGTCAGGATTGTGTGAAAACGCTTGAAATTTCTGCCTCCTAACATTCTCTTTTATGTTATAGTCACAGATATTGTTGGTGACCTTTAAATTTCATGAAGTTTATTGTTTATTTTGCTGATGCTATTGAAAGCAATGTGAATACTAATATTGGTGTAAACCATCCCAAGTGAATCTACCAAAAGAAGACAATGTTCTGGCTTACCCTTCTGAAGACAATATACTGATGGCATAGTTATTCATAGATTGGATAAGGATGATCTTGAACATCATCTATCAAGTGTCACAAGAAACAAGAGTCAAGATAAATCTTTCCAAAACAGAAATTATGATCTGGAATTGGAATGAAAGCAATGATGGCACCTACCCTGAATCCATCGTAAAAATCCAGTATGTGAAATTAGTAAATATTAAACACTTCAGATACCTCAGTATATGGATTGGTTATAACAAATTTAGCATAGGATAAAAGGAAATTGAACATAGAATAGACAATGGCAGGGGTAGTTTTTCCCAACACCGAAAATTGGTACAAAACCAAAACATCAACCTGAAAACTTGAGTCATATTCTTAAATAACCCTGTCAGATCAAGATTTTTATATGGATCTCATGCACCAAGCCTGTTCAGAAATATATAAATTGTCAGCTGCATACAATTGCTCTCACAGATCAATGGTTGAAACTAGGTTTGAGTGAGTGAAGTATGTGGGTCTTGGTAAAGATCATCCTTCTTTGAACATTGGAGTGGCTTTACCAAATCAAAGAACTGTACTAAATAAAAGAAACTGTGTCACTTGAGGACTGTCAACAGCAGCAACAACTAAAGTGGCTAGCACATGTAACTCAAAGAGAAAATAATGACATAATCAAGCTTTTGACATTCCACTCTATTAAAAATAAAATTTTAGGAAGGAAAACCCCATCAATACTGGAAAGAGTGATAACAGCTACTGGACTTAAAAAAGCTGAAAAGTTTTTCAAGAAAAAGATTTTATAAATTTCAACAGAAAGCAATACTAGCTGATTTGTCAATGAATGCCAAATGCTTCCTTATAAGGAAATGGCTAATATTACCATTTCCATAAACACTGGTCTTTTATCATTTTGTAGAGTTTTTAATATTTTCACTATTCCATGTATTTCTTAAACAAGTGACTTCCACTTTTTGTGGAAAATTGTCTATCTTTAATAAAGACCTAAATTAAAATTAAATACTAAAGAATTAATGTAGCTGTGGGAGCTATGAGACATAGACATGACTTAACCCTCTTAGTCTGTGGAATGATTGTTGTGTCCAAAAAGATGAAGCACTATCCCCAAGGTGATAGTTGGTTTATCTTCCGCAGTGTTGGTTCTAAACTTATTTAGGAATGACTGCAAAACACTTTCCCTTCCCAATTTATAGGCAGAAACATACAAATTCATGCTGGTATTTCTAGCTAATAAGATAGGCCAGTTCCTGGTTTCATCTGACTCAGTCCTAGTCTGGCTTGTCTTGAAGTCAGAATGCTATGTTCGCTTATCCAAATTCACTCTTGTGTGTCAACACCAATTCTTAGTTTATGAACTTTTTGCCATCCATACTACTGTTGCTTTGCCTTATTACTCTTAATTTGCCTTGCATATATTGTTTGCTTGCTTTATATTATTTTTTGCCATGTTCTTTTCTTTTCATTGTTTATTGCAAACTTTGTGCAATTCTATTGAGCATTTCTGCCATTTACATTTAACCATGGCCACTTACTCTACAAGCATAGGTAAACCAGGTATATAAAAAAAAACATTTTTTATACTATCATTCATCTAGTATAAGGCTCAAGAGCCACTTAAGGCAGAGGATTACTGAATGATTTGACTGATTCATTTTCTATGGCTTACAGGTTATTTAAAACCAGAAAAACCGTTTGCAAGTTATTTAAAACCAGAAAATATTTTTAGTATATAAGAATTGTTTTCTTTTTGAGAGATGATAATGGTTCAGTGATAATCCGTATCTGGGTGGAGAAGTGGTGGATTCAGACCTTTCCCAAAGGTATTTGTACGTAAGTGAATATAACAAACCCAAGAGGAATTGGAACTTGGATCTCTGATTAACAATTCAGAGCATCACCCATACATCTAAGCTTATAGCACCTGGTATTCCCAAGCGGTCACCTATCCAGGTACTTACCAAGCATGATGTTGCTTAACTGCAGCAATCATATCGGAACTGGTGTTTCAACATGACGTGACTGTAAGCCCTATTCCACTTGCAGTTCTTTAGTAAGAAGGCTTCTTCCCAGGTATTGCTGATTTGTGGAACAGATCCTCGACAGGATGTTTTCATAATCATTACAATCTTACAATCTCAGGTTCTTAATTTACTGAAGGGAGATCCAATAAGGAACAAAGAAAAAGCTCTTCAAACTCATATTTCTTTTGCCTCTGAGAAGCCTGGAAAATTAAGGAACCAATTTAAACCATAATTCCTCATTCATTGCCACAATCATTGTCGTTGTCACTTTTTTTTAACAGGTAACCACAGTTTCTTTGCTGCTGCAAGCCCACTTTTGGTAGGTTTGATCATGAATGCTACCAAAACAGTCAGCTGTCCATTTGCAGAACCAGGTTCAAAACATACAGTCTATGACACTTGGCTTAATAATTTCCCGAATATAGAAAAAACGCGTCCAAAGTAAGTATGAATGTAGAACATTTTTTTTATTTATTCATTTCTTTGGGATAAATGATTTTAAATCATAGAGTTTTGGTTTCATTTCCTCATTTTGACCTTGTTATTTTAACTTGTTTGTGAAAATCATTTCGGAACTTAATGAAAGAGAAATACACAACTATTAAAACAGGATCTTGCTCAATAAATAGAGTAACAGCACTTAACCAAACAACAGAAAAATGTTCTTTTTGCATCACTAGTTTCATCCAAAGATAGAGCGAAGTGTAAATCTGTTGGTTCAGACTTTATTTGATCGATTGCTGTAGAGGAAGTATTTAAGTCTCTGGTCTAACACAAACAATATAAAATGCATGTTAGTACGAACAAAATGAAGCAATTTCTTGCAACTTGTGGAACTCTTCTATCACATTCAATGAAACACACACACACACACACATATATATATATATATATATATATATATATATATATATATTAATCACCATAGAGATCCTTCCCTGCCCCCCATTAGAATGTCTGATAGTCAACTTCTTGAGAGCAACTCCCTGCGTCTGCTTGGTCTCACATTGACTGCTGACCTGAGATGGAACAAATACATTGAGTCAATTGCTTCTTCCACCGCGAGGAAAGTTGGCTCTCTGTGCCGCGCCAGGAAATTTTTCTCCCCGGAATCGATACTTCAAACATACAAATCAACCATTCGCCCTTGCATGGAGTATTGCTGCCATATATGGTCTGGGGCGCCTTTTGACAAGATCCAGAGACGGATATGTAATGTAATTGGCCCTGATCTGGCGTCTCGTCTGCAGTCACTCTCTCACAGATGAACCATCACCTCTCTCTGTCTTTTCTACAAATACTTTCATGGTAATTGCTCCAATGAGCTGCTTTCACTGGTTCCCAGACTCCATGAATTCAAGTGCCCTATGAGGCTGGCATCTCGCTCCCACCCCCTACACTGTAGAAACTTTTAAATGTAGCCGTCTCTTCTACTCCAATAGCTTCATACCTTGCACCTCTTGCCTGTGGAACACCCTTCCAAATTACTGTTTCCCTGAGAGCTATAATCTCCAACTATTCAAATGTAATGTCAATCGACACCTCTAGTTACCTTGATCTACCCACTACCCTTCTCCTCATCCTTTCTCCTATCTGCTCTCGCTCCAAATCTTCTGCAACCCCCTGCATCCTAGTGGCTTCACGCCTTACTCGGGGTGTAATGCTAAAAAAAAAAATATATATATATATATATATATATATATATATATATATATATATATGAATAAAAAGACAAGAGGAAAAACTATTCTTAGCTGATGCATTTTGTCCTCTGTTGAGGGACTTTATCAAGGCTGAAATGTTGATAAAGTCCTTCAGAGGATGAAACATCTCGGCTTAGAATAGTTCTTCTTCTTGTTTGTTTATTCATTTTCATCCTCTTAATTTTTTTTTTTCATTTTGTCCCTTATCTGAAAACAATTTATCTATCTATCTATCTATATATATATATATATATATATATATATATATACATAAAATTTTTAAAACTCTAATCTTGTATGTATGCATGTGTGTTCCTGAGATACAGCTCAAACCATACATAATACCCCAAACAATTTTGAACCTTAACCCCTGTCAAATGCAGTGTGAAATTTCATTAAAATTCAACAAGGCGTTTTTGAGGTAGGACTATTTTTTCTGATTTTTATGGCATTTTTAATATCAAATTCAGTATTTGTTTTCAATAAACATTCTTATATCAATCTGTGTGTATAAACAAATATCTGCATATTATATTCCAACCATTATGTGTGTGAAAAATAATAAAAGTTCATAATATTATTAAATAAATTTAAATAACACAACATATATTTATACAATTCACTACATTAGAACTTTTTTATAAACAAATATCTCAGATGTTTGGCAAATACTTGATAGTTGAAGACATTATGTGGGTGTGTCATTGTAAACATAATCTGTATGGCTGGCAAATTGTGTCACATAACTTCATGGTAAATAAATAAATGTATACTGGTTTGCTTCTGTTATGTATTTTGAAATAAATGTGAGGAAGGGACAAGTATGTACAAAAAAAAATTATTATTAATTTATTATTGTGTTCAATCTAAGTAATATTGTATAACATGAGTAATAATAATTATTACAATAATTATTAATATTATATATATTATTATTAATATAATAAATAATACAATTGATAATACTGGTACTTAACCATCTTGCATCAAAAACTAGTTTTATATATATTAATTGAACTATATACTTAGTTCATGTCATGTTAACTGAAAAACACTTGTAAAAAAAGAATTTGCAGATTTACCATATTACAAAATTCATATAAAAATTCTCACTTGAGATTTTGAACTCTAGCATTGTGACTAGCACGTTCCGAGATTGTACAACCATCAATAGCACATTCTTAAAAACATCTTTTGGTCTACAAACAATTATTTTGTCTTCAAGTTTTAACTTTAAAAGAAAAAAATACAGCCTGATGATGGAGACATGGATCTTCGAAAGTACTTGCTTAACTTAAAAATATATACACTAGAAACATTTGACAACAGTTTTATAAATGAGGATCACATCATTCAATGGGTTAACAGTATTTTAATGCATACATTATGTTCTACTAGCGAAGTGATTTTGCCATTAATCGCATTAATATTGCTGATTGATTCTATATATGATTATTTCTTTATATATATATATATATATATATATATATATATATATATATATATGATATTGTGATATATATTTTGTATAATTTTATATATCAACAAGCAGTATTTTTTCATGAGGATTTCATCAGACTGGGCTTTGTTGATATTGTCACATCTACATGTGCACAGGAAACAAGAGACACTAGTAGTTTAAAAATTTTTGAAAGAATATTTCTTTTATTTTTATTTTGAAAGAATATTTTTTCAATCTAGCCAAATTCATTTGTATTATTTTTTTCTTTTCCTCTCCATTGCCTTTGTCCCTGACTATTCAACATTGTGACAACAGAAAATCTAGTAAGAATGGTGATATATTGTAAGAGCCTAGATATAAATTTACTGTGGATGAACTAGCAAACAAGGCACTTTCCAGACATTTTCGTCTTAGTGGACAAAGGTAATGCAGAGAAAAAGAATATAGATGAATCTGGTTAGATTGAAAAAATATTCTTTCAAAAATTTTGAAACTACCATTTCCTCTCATTTCATGCCCATGTGTAAACAGGGCAACAACAACAAATCCCAGCAAAATGAAACTAACAGATGAAACTACGTCACAAAATTTTTTCAAATTTGTATTACTATATATATATATATATATATATATATATATATATACACACACATATATATATATATATATGTATACACATACATATTTTAGAAAATGAATTAAATCTGAAATATTTTTAATTTGTTTAAAAGGTTATTTTTATGAGTATATATTAATATATAAATATCAATTAAAAATAACATTTAAACAAACAAGTTAAAATAAATATAAAATATATAATGTTTAAACAAATAAACTAAAATATATAAAACATATATTAAATTTCCTAAATAAATCAATATGCAGACTAATAAAGCCTACAACAACCAACACTGAAAAAATATGTAAGCAAATTGTAGAAAAAATATGCACAAAGTTAAGGCGTATACTAAACATAAACCAATGGAAAAATACAAAAGAAACAATTAACTGGTTTAACAACAAAAGAAACTGTTCCTTCATACAACTAGACATAAAAGGTTTTTACCCATCCATCAATGAAAACACAGTAAACAATGCACTAGACCTGGCAAAACAATACATGTATATCCCAAACAAAGATGTAAGAAGTATCAAACACTGCATAAATTCAATACTATACTACAACAACAAAATATGGACAAAAAACATAGCAGCAATAATACCAACAATAGCAATATCAACAATACCTTTGACATGACAATGGACAACTATGATGGTGCAGATTTATGCGAACTCATAGGCATATACATCATCAATAGAAAAACACATGTCATTAACAAAAAAGATATAGGCTTATACAGGGACAACAGCATAATAATCATAAGAAATTACAATGTCAGAACTATGGAAAGAATAAGAAAACAGAGCATAGAAACCTTCAACACAGGATTTGGAATAGACATAAAATCTAACCTAAAGATTTTAAACTTCTTAGATATAACATTTAATCTAAACAACAACACATACAAACCATACAGAAAAGCAAACAACAACCCTATATACATCAACAAAATCTCCAACCGTCCTCCTAATGTATTCAAACACATACCCGTATATATAAATAAAAGAATATCAACAAAATCGAGCAACATGAAAATATTCAATGAAAACAAAAAAACATGAAACAGCATTAAGAAATAGTGGTTATCTGAACAAACTAGAATATACAAATGAAAACAAACCAAGAAAACACAATAGAAAAAGAAACATAATCTAGTTCAACCCACCCTATACTAATACAGTAAAAACAAAAATAGGAAAAATATTCTTTAAAATAACTGAAAAACATTTTCCTAAACACAACAAACTATCAAAAATCATCAACAAAAACACAGTAAAAATCAGTTACAGCTACATGAATAATAAAGAAAAAATAATGTGTGCATGTACATACATGAGCATACACAAGAATACCCACCTGTACAAAAAAAAGACACACATACATATACGCAGAAAAAAATTCAACCATAACCTAAAATAAAATGGTTAAAGTAATAAAAAAGTTAAGGAGCATACTAAAAATAGATCAAGGAAAAAATACAAAAGAAACAACTATTTGACTTGTTCTTTTGTACAACTAAATACAAATATCAAATACTAAGTAAAGTTAAAAAAAACTAAATAAACTTAAATAATACAACCTACTAAAATATATCAAAATACTAAGTAAAGTTATATAATACAACCCACTAATGATACATATAGTTAATACAAAC